TCACCATCCCTTTCCTGCCCCACCATGGGGCCTGGCTGCCCAGAGCTCCCTGCTGCTGGGGCCTGCGTGACCATGTCCAATTTGCCCACGTCTCCCTGCTGCTGGCAGGAACTTGCAGGCCGTGGGATGCTGTGTGTTAAGGGGGGTTCTGATGTTCTGGGGTGGGGGGCATTCTAGCGGTGGGGGCTGGTCAGAGCTTAAATCATCTATCTGGTTCATACCCCTCTTCCCTCTCCCCCCACCTTTTCTGGGTGCCTCCTCAGGTGTTTGTCCTGGCGCTGACGTTTCTCGTCCTCTTCCTTGGCAACTTTCTGACCACACTTAAAGTCGTGCACGCCAAACTCCAGAAGAACAGAAATAAGACAGAGAAGCCCTGAGCCACAGGACTCTTGTGCCCCTCGGGCCCCTGGACTTTAGGACCGTGGGGGGATTCTGGTCGGCACCTCTGCTGCCGACATCCTCCCCAGCAGTGCCCCTGACCACTGGCTGCAGTAATCTTGAGCCAGCGTGTCATGGGGAGCAGGGCCGAGGCGCCGGTCCCCGGCCCAACACAAGGAATGTGAGCCCAGCCCGTCCACACAGTATTAGCCCACCCAGCCTCCCTATTTATGAGCATATTTAATACCAGGTCCCCCCAACTCCCCAGGAACCGGAGGCTTTCCCCATGGCCTGTGGTAGTGGCCAAGACTGGGCCAGTCTTCCTGGGGAGGGGCCTAAAGCCTCAGGGAGCCCGGCTGCCCTCCCTCCCGTCATTTGAGCCCCTCAGGTTGGGGTTTGGATGTGCCTCGCTGGGGTTGGATTTATGCTGACCTGCTACTTACTGAGTCCCAGGCATGGGGTTGAATGAAGCCCTGAGCTTCCTGTGGAGCACCCTGCCCTGGGCCACACCGCTTCTGCTGTAAGCTCCCGCCGTGGCAGGGGTTATTTAAGTTCTCAGAGAACCACTGTCTGTCTTTGCCTCCTCCTCTTTTTTTTGCTTCCTGAGTCTTCCTCCTGTTGGTGGGGAAAGGGGGCCTGCTCGCTCCCTAAGGCCTGGAGGGCTTGGCCTCTTGGAATGACACCGATGGGTTTTGAGGGTTACCACCAGAGGGCGCTCCAGCCTCTGGATTGTTGTAACTGAGAGTGGTTCTGACACTGAAAGTTTGGGTCGGCTTTTGGGAGTTTCCTGACCCTCACACCTCCACCACCTCCTCAGATTCTTGCAGTGAGTACTCAGGGAGTGGGACCAAGACCCTCAGCCTGCCAGGGATTTAAGCCATCGTGGAGGTCACCTACTCCCCATCTCCCTCCCTTCTCCCCAGAGGTTCTGGAATGTTCCGGGAGTTATGACCAGGCCCACCCCTCAAGAGGCCACATCTGAGGCCAAGGAATGTCTGGTCACCTGGCGTTAGATCTTCTACTAGTGGTGAGGGTGGAGAAGCCAGTGGGTTCAGTTGAATGTTCTGCCCCGTCTCACTCATGGGCCTCAGCTGCCCTTAGAGACGTCCCTACAAATCCACTTAGACCAGAATTCACAGCTGATGCCCACATACATGTTTGGCCCTCAGTGGGATTTAAAAAAATTGTTTTTGTTACATTTTTAAAATACGAGATCCTCCCTCCCCTTATCCCTCTCACCTCAGTGAGATTCCACATAAAAAACCAATTTCTACTTTCCCTAGAAAAATGTAGAGATGTGGCAACATTCCTGCAGGACAGCACTTGGCCAGGGTTGAGCCGGCCTTTCTACTTTGTTGCAGGCCCCGCCTCTCCTTTTTATACCTGCCCTCCTTCCCTGTTCAGGTCTGCCATCTGGCCCTTTAGGCACATCGGTTTGCTTTAGAGTAGAAGTCAGCCCTTTTCTGAAAACGGCCAGATGGTAAATATTTTAGGCTCTGCAGGCCATGCTGACTCTGTTGCAGCTACTCAGCTCTACAGTTGTAGGGTGAGGGCAGCCCGACACTACAGAAATGAATGGATGTGGCTGTCTTCCACTAAAACTTTATTCACAAAAACTGGCAGCGGCCAGATTTGACTCACAGGTCATAGTTTCCCGACCCCTGTCCTAGAGCATCATGTGTGCACAAGTCTTTGGGTCCTGCTAGAATAAGAGGTCCTTGGTCTGATTCCTCTATTGATCCCCAGAGCATGACAGGGTGTTTGGGAACCTAGGTAGAATGGATGCATTTCAGAAGTCTCCTTGCCTGGCAGCCTGGCTTCTGAGGCTCAGGCTTAGTGGGGAACCCAGCATTGGACAAGGGGGGCAGGAGCCGCTTGGAGCCATGATCCCATCTTAGGTAACGCAGACTCCTGGTCCTCACTCCAGAACTGAGCAACTGTTAGTCCCTGATGGGCTTTAGAATCATCTGGAGCACTTGTTTAAAAAAGCCTGCACCACCCCCACCCCCACCCCCACTCCAGAATTTCCGGAAGGTGGCCCAGGGCCCAGGGGTCTATAGTTTAACAAGTACCCTCCTGGCTGTTGGTGACACAGGTGGTCCGAAGAGGACCAGCTCTGAGAAACCCATCGTGTGGGGCGGGGGTGGATCCTGTCCTTTTCCGCAGGAGACCAGGCAAGGATGGCCTCAGCTCCAGAACCCCACGTTCTGGTACAAGTGGAAGCTGTTAGGGCCAGAGGGCAGCTCAGTGACAGTTTAAATGGACTACTGCCCACTGCAGATGGGAAAGAGTCTAAGAACTGACCTGACCCAGGTCACCAGGAATGGATGGCACGTTTCACCTTGACTTCCTGACAGTGGGGTTAGGTGTAAGGAGTCCTGCAGCAGGGATCAGACTGGGGTACAAGGAGTATACTTTCTGCCTTTTGAAGGATGGTTTCCTCTCCTCCTTGGGCCCGTGTGCCCAGCTCTGAAATGATGGTGTCCAAGCTGAAGGCCAAGGCGGAGTCCGCAGTTTGGGCCAGGAGGAGAGGGAGGGTGGTGCCGGCCCCATATCCGGGGCTGTGGCCTGCGTTCTCCTGATAGGCCCTGGGCCCTGGCCCTGTCACGGCCCCCGAGTTCCTGGGGGAAGGAAGAAGTGGTGTATACGGCCGTGCCTATCTCGGGATCCCAGGGAGCGGGCAGCCTGGGGATCCCACAGGAACCCTGCCAAGTCCACGTCTGCCTGCGTACCAGCCATAGTTTTAATGTCAAGCATCAACTGGGCGTGCAGAGAGGGGCCCAGCATGGCCGGTGGAAGCCATGGTGAGGGCACTCTTGAGTCCTGGGGACAAATGCGTGGCCCAGGCCCTGCAGAATGTGTGGTTCCCGGGCACAGAGGACGTGAATCCAGCATCCTCATTCACCTTGGGGCCATGGCTTGAGTGTAAGCCTAGAGGCGAGTTCGTGGTCAGAAGCCCCAGCTGGGAAAGGAGAGAGTTCCAGAATGATCCACAAGTCCAACCACAGGCCCCAAACACCAGATGCTGGAGATGTCCAACTCCGAGTGCCCTGCACGAGCTGGAAGTAGGGAGGAAGGGTCTCGGGCCCTGTCTCCTGGCGGGGGCCCTGCAGCCTGGTGCCCAGGGCCCCACAGGTCACAGCAGCAGGCAGAACCGGCGTTGTTTCTGCCGCTGGGCTTTCTTCAGGGCGCTGAGGGCGACCTTGGCGGCCTCTCGGAAGACATCCTCCACGTTCTCCCGGAACTTGGCGGAACACTCCAGGTAGAGCGCGGCCCGGATCTGCTCGCAGGCGCTCTGTCCCTAGGTGGGGAGGTGCCGGCATTAGACGGGGCCAGAGTATGGGGTCCCTGGAGGCCTGCTCACACCCTCTTGTGGAGGGCTGGCTTTGGGAGCTTGGTCAGGACCCCACTCTGTTCTCCATCCCTGGGGCGGCCTCCCCAGCATGTGGGGATGGAAAGAAAGGGCCTGTGTGGCGCCGCCCAGGGTTGGGGCTGCTGCGAGGAGAGCATACCGGCTTCTATCTCCCCATCTCCAGCTTCAGGCAGAATTCTGAGAAGTGGGGTGGGCTGTCTGTCTCCTAGGCCTGTGAGATGCCTGAAGGCCTCAAGATAGACAGGGCTTCCTAGATCCTCCTCTCTTCTGACAGTACGATTTAGGCATCTAAGCTTCGTACTAGAGTAAAAGAACCTTATTTAAAAAAATGAACTTTACTAATGCTTATTACTTTTTCTTAAAATTTCCTTATTTTCCTTTGTATACATATACATACAGGAACTAATCTATTCTCCCATGCCTCACCCAAAAAGCTGCAGGGTTTGGATTTGCCTTGACTCTCGGGTAGAGGAGCCTACTTATGGAGCAGGGCCCAGCACTCTAGCCCCTTGGTAGATAGGGCAGGGTGGTGGTTAGAGTACAGGTTCAGGGTCAGAGAGCCTGGGGCTGCATCCTGGCTCCACTGAAGAGCTGTGTGACCCCAGGCAAGCTACTGAAACTCTCTGGGCCTCCACATCTCCCCTGCACAATGGGGGCTGCTAACAGTACCTGCCTCCAAGCTATAAGGACTAAATGAAGGAAGCCATGTAAAGTGCTCAGACCAGAGGGCTGTCAACATTATTAATAACTAAATTATTGTTATTATTAGAACCCTGCTTGCCTCAGCTCCCCCAAAGGCCACTAAGGCACCCCAGTGGCAGAGGCTGAAGGCTGGGGAGCCTTTTGACCACGGCTGTGCCTGCTGCCTTGGCCCCTGCTGGTGGGGCGGGGGGAGAGAGGGGTTGCCGGGTCCCGACCCACCTGCATGTAGGTGATGGGCTCCAACTGTGCGGCCCGCAGTTTCCGCAGCTGCTCCTTGTCCTTCCTCAGATCCGTCTTGCAGCCAATGAGTACCATGGGGATCCCTCGGCAGAAATGCGTGACCTCGGGGAACCACTGTGGGGGGAGAGGGTGGGGCGTCAGGGCTGGGGGGCTGGGGGACTGGTACCGGCCCCCACCCTAGGAGGCGGGCCTCACCTTGATGAGGACATTGTCGTAGCTGGTGGGATTCATGACGTCATAGCAGATGAGCACGAGGTGGGTGTTCTGGTAGGAGAGGGGCCGAAGGCGGTCATAGTCTTCCTGTCCTGGAACCAGAGGGAAGCCGGGGGTCAGGGGAGACATCCCCTGTCCATCCCAGAGCCCCCTGCCTGTGCTCAGATGGGCAGGGTGGAGGGTCCCTGGGCAAGTGCCTCAGTTTCCTCACTGTAAAGCAGGGGTGGCAGCCTATGGTACTGGATGGCTGCAAAGACTCCAAGAGTGAAACCCACGGAGTCGGTGCTCAGTGAGCTGGGCCTGATCACAGAGTAAGAAAGCACCGGGAAAACTACTCTGTCAGGACCATGAGGATGCTCCCCTGCCCTGATGCCCGGGTTAAAAGTGCAGCCTTGGAGCCAGACTGCCTGGGTTCAATCCCCCCTCCAGATTTGGACCCACGGGGCTGGGGCGGCCCAGGTTGCTCCAATTAACAGCCATGCCCAGCATGCTGTGGCCTCTGGCTTCCCTCGGATAAAGCGATGCTTTTGGCTGAATTCCCCCAGTCCATTCTTGTCAATGGAAACCCTGGTGGCGTAGTGGTTAAATGCGATGGCTGTTAACCAGCAGTTCGAATCCACCAGGCGCTCCTTGGAAACTCTATGGGGCAGTTCTACTCTGTCCTATAGGGTTGCTATGGGTCAGAATCGACCGGATGGCAATAGGTTTGGTTTGGTTTTTGGTATTCTTGTCCACACCGGGGGCGGGGCGGAGATTGCTGGAAAGAGCAAGGAACCACCTTCCAGCCCAGGTTCCCCCTGCACTGGCTGTCGCTTGAGATGCCCAACTCTGAGTCACAGCCACCTGGGGAGAGTTTAAGGATCCCAAGGCCCAGGCTCCTCCCCAGCACCCACTGGATCAGAACCTAGAGGCTGGGCTAGAACGCAGGCAGGTTTTAAAAAGGTTTGGTAACTGTTTATCCTGACAATTTCAAACGTCCAGAAAAACTGGAAACAGCACAAAGAAGCCCCTGCCTCAGATGCGTGGCGTGTTTACAGTCCGCCCCTCTTGCTTTATCGCTGTATAAACACTTCCTCTGAATCACTGCAGACACCCGCCCTCTGCCCTGTAATGGTTCAGTGTGTGCCTCCTAAGAACAAGGGCATTCTCTTCCCCTATGCGTCCTGGGTGGTGCAAACAGTTCACGCGCTCAGCTGCTAACAGAAAGGCTGGAGGTCAGAGCCCACCCAGTCGTGCCTCAGAAGAAAGGCCTGGCAATCTACTTCCGAAAATGAGCCATTGAAAACCCTATGGAGCACAGTTCTACTCTGATGCACATGGAGTCGCCATGAGTCAGAGTCGACTCCATGGCAAGGGGTTCTTATCTTACCCTGGTACAGGTACCGAACTCAAGACATCAATGTTGACACCAGACTCTGATTCATATTTGGATTTCGCCATTTCCCCAACTAAAAACATTAAAAAACCGTTGCCATTGAGTCAATTCTGACTCACAGCGACTCTACAGGACAGAACAGAACTGCCCCACAGGGTTTCCAAGGGGCGGCCGGTGGACTGAAACTGCCAACCTTTTGGTTAGCAGCCCAACTCTTAACCACTGAACTACCAGAGCTCCATTTCCCCAACAAGGACCTTTATTTTATTTTTTCCCTTGATCCAGGAGCCCACCCAACATAGTGCACTAACCCCTAACCCTGCCATCGAGTCGATTCTAACTCATAAATGCACTAGTATTTCTAAAAACACTCCCATGTGAGAACTGAAAACCTTTCAGATGCATTGGTGCCCCCCAGCCACCTCTGCAAAGGCACAGTAACTGTGTCTTCCACTGAAGAGACATCAGGGTCCCTGATGGAGCAAATCCCTCACTCTTGGTTGTGAGGATGCCCGGGTGGCACCAGCCTGCCTCCACTCCCGCCCTGCCACAGGTCTCTCACGAGAAGTGGTCTCTCTACCCAGCATTTCCATATTGTCTGCTGTCTGTCTCTTCCCTGTGGACGGTAAACACCATGAGGGTAGGGACCGAGTCTGTCCTTCAGACTAATCCCTGGCACCCAGTAGGTGTCCAATAAAGACTGGCTGGCTGTTGCTTTGAAATTGCTGAACTCTTCTCAAAAGCAGCAGGGAAAAAGGCTGACATGTGGCCCCGGATCTGCCATGACAGCCCGCGAGGACATTAGTGCAAGAGACTTCAGAGGTTTGGCGAAGGCAGGGGTTAGGCTGCTGGGGGTTGAAGGAGGAAGTGGAAACAGTGTGTTCAGAACACAGAGGGTGAGGCCTCTGCCCCTGCAGTTCCCCCTTCTAGAATACTCTCCCCCATGAAGCAGCATGGCTCACCCCCCCCTTGAGGTCTCTACAGAAATGTCACCTCCTCCGAGAGACCTCTGTTGGAACAACAGCCTCCTTCGTAGTCCGCCCCCTCACCCCCAGCTGTGGTTTATTCTTCTTCACAGCACGCATGACTCCCTGACGTCAGGCTCTTTTTCTATTTCTCTGTTTGTCTCCCCCATGAGCACATCAGCCCCCTGCAGACAGGGGCCGGGTCTGTGCTGTTCACCGTGGCATCCCCGGGGCCTAGCCCAGCGCCTGGAATGCAGGCCCCGGGAATGAACACGCCAAGGAGTAGGTGGCCACGGCGCAACAGTCAGGTCTGTTTCTTCTGCTGGGATGACTTCCACAGTGCTTGAGTATTTACAAGGGCATTGCACTCACGTGACCTGTGTTAATTCAAGTAGCCACCCTGGCAGGTAAGCAGGGTGGGGAAAGTTCCAGGGCCATGAGTTCTTTGCCTTAAGAGCCCAAGAAAGAGGAGGCTGAGGGACCAAGGTCAGAGCTGGAGTGCCAACTCAGTCCCCAATGCCAAGGTCAGCCGCCGCCCAGCCACTCCACAAGTGGCAGTTCTTCCAGGAAGCCCTCCCAGCCTTGCCGACTAGGAACTAAGCTCTGGGCCTCAGTTTCCTTACCTGTCAAACAGGGATGCATGAAGCAGGTTGAGCCAATGAACACTACGAACGCTCACTTATCGTATGCCAAGCCCTGTTTGAAACCCTTTGCCTGCCTTAACTCATCACGCCTCATGATGACGCTACAAGGTGGGCTCCATTTTACAGATGCAGAAACTCAGGCACAGAGAGGTGAAGTGAGTTACCCAAGGTCACACAGCTAAGAGGAAGCTCTGTAATGACAGAGGACTACCGGCAGGACTATTGGGATGCCCTGGTGGTGCAATGATTTAGTGCTTACCGGATAACTGAAAGGTTGATGGTTTGAACCTACCCAGTGGGCTCCCTAGGAGAAAGACCTGGCGATCTGCTCCCATAAAGATTACATCCTAAGAAACTCTATGGGGCAGTTCTACTTTGCCACATGGGGTCGCTATGAATGGAAAATCGACTTAACGGCACCCAACAGCAAAAAACTCCTCTAGCCCGCCCCCACAGGGTAGGAGCCATCCTTACCCTACGAGCCCCAGCCCTGACCAGGTGAGGAAAAACGGCTGCCAACATAGCACCTAGAAAGAGAGGGACGCTGGGAGGGTGTGGGCAGCCAGCCCAGACCCCAGCTCTTCCTCTGGGATGCTTTCCTGGCTTGACTCCTGCCTGGCTCAGCTTTCCCCAAGGTTCAGTGTGGGCCACCACGCGGGGAGCAGGCCGCGGACTGTGTACTTCCACGTGCTGTTGACCCACAGGTCTCCTTGGGAGGGTGGGCTGTCCTACACATCCTCCCCCACGTGAGTCAGGAGAGCCACTCAGACACACCTTCCCTTGCTGGGCCTCAGTTTCCTTATCTTCAAAAGGGGATGATAACCCTGCCCCAGATACTGGAAGGGAAGGGACTTTGTAGGCTGGGAAATGCTGGACAAAAGGGGAGGGACTGCTATTATGGCTACAAGTGAAACAAACTTCTCGAGGGGACCAGGCTTGTGGCGGGGGGTGGGGGGCATTAACCCCGGGATCTTTGGACCTACAAGCATGAGGAGTCCCCTACCCACAAGGCCATACCATTACTCGCTCCCCCAGTTTAACCATAACAATGCAAAGGCTTAAGGGGCCAAGCCACATGCCCAGGCACGCTGGGGCTTCACCCTGTTCTCTCAGATGAGCTCAGGAGGTCAAAACAGCCTCTGAGTTGTATACAAAAGAGGTGTTATGGATTGAATTATGTCCCCAAAAATATGTGTTGTAAATCTTAACCTCTATGCCTGTGGTTATAATCCCATTTGGGAACAGGCTGTCTCTGTTATGTTAATGAGGCAGTATTAGTGTAGGGTGTATCCTGAGTCAATCTCTTTTGCGATATAAAAGAGATTAAACAAGCAAGCGAGAGAAGCAGACATGGGCGAAGAGAGATGCCAAGCCACATGAAGATCACCCAGGAGCAGAAGCTCAAAAGAGACAAGGACCTGCCCCCAGAGCTAATAGAGCCTTCCCCTACAGCCAGCACCCTGAATTCAGACTTCTAGCCTCCTAAACAGTGAGAAAGTAAATTTCTGTTTGTTAAAGCCATGCACTTGGGCTTTTTGGGTATAGCAGCACTAGGCAACTAAGACAGGAGGCATTTCTTCCTCACGTGGAAAGGTCCCTGGGCCAAGGTCCCCTCAAAGCCGCCCATCTTCCTCAGGTTGGCGGTACTCTGGGGCAAGGAGGAAGTGTGGTCTCTCCTCACGCAGGGTATTTCCTTTGTGGGTTGGAGCTTTACTGCAACACCGATCTTTCTGGGGGCCCGGGGTCTCTGAAGGCCAGAGCTGGCTTGAGGAGAGAAGGGGTGTCCTTGGGCCACAGCGGTCCCCAAAACTGGAAGGCACACTGAGGCCAGGTGGTTCCTGGCCAGACTGGGCATTGGTTGAGGGAGGGTGCAGGCAGCGTGAGAAGGGGAAGCTGCCAGAAGGGAAACCAACTCTTACCAGCCCTGCTGGGTCCCGCCCACCTGCATTTCCTCCCCAGAGGCAGGAGTAGTTCGGGCTGTGGCAGCCCCGGCTTTGAGCTAAGGACATATTCTGACTGACCTCCACACATGGCTCCCCCAAGCTTCCAGGGCTCCTGGCTGCTATGGCTCATGACACCCTTCTTGTCCCCAACTCCTTAGCATCTCTCTGCCCCCCTGCCCCACTTTTCCTCTTGCTTCTCCCTCAGGTTGGGAAGAGGACCACAGCTCTCCACCTTCCTAAGGCAGCCCATCCTGTGACCCCAACCCTGGTCGCAACCCCAAGGCCCAGATGAACTCCATCTCTAGTTGGTGTCTTAACACTCCCCTCCCCTGCCTCCCCTCTGCCCGGGAAACTTCCGACTTCACCACAACTTCCTGCCTCTGAGGGTGTCAGGGCCCGGCGGGGAGGGTAATGGGTGTTTGCAGCCCCCGCCCCGCTTACCTCTTAGCACCAAGAGCTCCGTCTGCCCCTCCACCCCACTCCCACCTCTGTAACTGTTTCCGCAGGATGGAGACAAATGGCCAGACTACCTCCCACTTGCCCAGGGCAATCACTCGGTCCTCCGTGGGGACAAATTCAGTCTCCCAGGGGCCACCCCTGTCCCGCGGCTCTGGTCACTGCTGGGTAAGCTGTCCCTTCTGAGGCCAGCCCCGCAGGTTCTAGAACCTTCTACCATAACCTCTTCTAGCCCTATCTCTAGCTCAGCCACTCCCCTCAGCCCCTTAGCCTCTCTCTTTATCTGGTCATCTGCCATGTTCTGATATCCATCCACCTAAAGGTAGGGATCACTGCTATCACCTTCATCACATAGGACCCTCCCCAGCAGTGCCTCCCA